CTCTGCAGCAAGCACTTTAGGTCCTCTTCAGTTTCAACAAGCAGGGTTGTGTCATCTGCATAACACAGATTGTTTATAGCTATCCCAAGAAAATTAAAATGGAGGCATAAATGGAGATTTGTGTACCAGTGTTCATGGCAGCATTATTCACCATCAAAAGAACATGGAAACAGCCTAAATGCCCAACCACAATCAAATGGATTGAGAAATTACAGTACAATCATATGATGGAATACTATACAGCATGTAGGGACAATGATTTTGAACATTACTCCCTATCTTAGCATTATACTAAGTGAACTAATTCAGTCCCATAAGGACAAATACTCTGTTAAGAACATTATTGTAGAAATACAAAGATAACTAGTAAAACATGTATGAGGATCCAAGAGGGGAGAGAAGAAGCAGAGGGATGAGAATGGGCAGAGGTGTAATCTTAGGTTCGCACAATTTAATGGGTAGAGGAAGTGGTGGGTAAAGGAAATGGACAGGATCCAGAGTGAAAAACAATATATGCAAACTTTGTAAGTAAAGCAGTATTAAATAAAAATTTTCTTTAAAAAAAAAAAAACAAAAAAGCACCAACCCTTGCCACTAGGGACATCATTGTCAATGTCAAATGGATCTTGGCCAGAGAGTACCAAAGGAATGTCTGTATTTCATTGGCCATGCAAAGGCATTTGACTGCGTGAATCACAACAAATTGTGGCTAACCTTGAGAAGAATAGAAATCTCAGAACACTTCTGACTGTGCTCATGTGTAAACCTGTACTTGGACCAGGAAGCAGTCATTAGAACAAAGAAAGGAACACTGCATGGTTCAAAATCAGAAAAAAAGGAATGTATCAGGGATGTTTCCTGTCTCCATACCTTTTTAGTCAGCATGCAGAACAGATCATTCGAAAAGCTGGACTTTATGAAGAAGAATGTGGCTTCAGGATTGGAGGAACTCATCAGCATCCTGCATTATGCAGATAACATAACCTTATTTACTGAAACTGAGGAGAACCTGAAATATTTGCTGCAGAAGGTCAAGGACTGTAGTCTGCAATATAGATTGAAGCTCGACGTCAAAAAGACAAAGATTCTCACCACTGGGCCAATTTGCAGTATCATGATAGATGGAGAAGAGACTGAGATTGTTAATTTCAGCTTGCTCGGTTTCACAATCAAAACTTGTGACACCAGCAGTCAGTAAATCAAAAGACATACTGTTGTTATTGTTATGTGCCATCGAGTTGTTTGTGACTCAAAGCGACCCTATGTACAAGAGTCCTAAACACCATTCTATCCTGTGCCAACCTTGCCGTCTCAAACACACTCATTCCCACCACTCCACTCACAGAATTGATCCATCTCATCGAGGGTCTTCCTCTCCTGTGCCGTCCCTCCACTCTCCCAAACATGATGTCCCTCTCCAAGGACCAGTCCCTCCTTGCAAAATGCCCAAAGTATGTCAGACGAAGCTTCAGAATCCGTGATTCCAAGGAGCATTCTGGCTTCACTCTCTCCAGGACAAACCTGTTTGTTCTCCTAGCAGTCCATGGTATATTCAACACTCTTCTGCAGCACCACAACTCAAAGGCATC